ATGTGTTTATATATATATATATATATATGTATATATATATACAGTTAGGTAACATCTCTTCATCAGCTCACACGATTATATCCGAAAAAAGATGTGCTCTCTAATATTGCATCAATATAGCCAAGCAAAATATATCAATATTATAGTGTGAGCAGCACTCAAAGAAATTAAAATAAAAATGGAACACATTAAGTAAAAAATATATACGAAATTAAATATATCAGGCAAAAAACAGAAAATAAAATTTAAAGAAAAAATACTGAACAAAACACAAAACGAAATCTATAAAGCGAGTAGCGAATTCAAATTATTTCTTGAGCGTAATAAACAATTTGTCTGAATTAATAGAGGTCAAATGTGTCCCCCAGCTATTACCCATATATTGAGTGTCTAAAACTTTCATTTTTCAGACAGTTGGGCGCAGAGATTCTTTTTATTTATTTTATTTAAACAAAAAGACACACTTAGTTGTTTATTTCCAGTCGCTTACCTCTTTTCTTTTCATTCAAAAAACGTACGTAAATTTCTAAGTAAAAAGGCGTTTTTTAAAAATTGCTAGAAGTCTTCCCCTTTCCCCTGTTTGCTTCTCTCATCAATCCCCTTGGTTGCTTCCCACTCATAATTGAAGATCAAGGGAAAAGAACGGTGTATGTCCATTTTTTACGAAAATTACGCCTGAATTGCCATCTGTTACATTTTGAGGATGATTAATTCTCATAAATTCTCGGGGTTAAATTCTAAAACGAATTATTGTATGTTTATTTTTTATTTCATCGAATTCCTTTACACCCTTTATAGACTTAAACAATTTCAAGCTCTTGAGTCTTTCGCTCAGTAAAACAAAATCCAACGTAAAGATGAATACTCAAAATAGTGACGGCGTCGGTGTCTCTTACAGATTTTTAATATAGAGATAATGTAGGTCCAGGAAGCATATTTTAATTACAAATTATATTATGTTGACGTCTACTACTTTCAGTTTATTAATTTATTATTTCATCACGGGTGACACTGGCAAATAGTACTAATTCGGTACTTTTTCTGAGGTCATAATAGGGATTTATATAGAGAGAATATGTATAAATGGCTATTTTCTAATAAATTAAAAACGAATTATTTATTATAATTTCCTTTAAACTTTATAGATAATGGTTAAAATTTTATACAACCTAAAACATTCCAAAAGGAATATTTTATTGTTTAATTCATCAACACTTTTGTAATTGTTTTTATCTTATGCAAAGTGCAACAAAACTAATAGTCATAATAGTGAAAAGAAGATTTGGCACATCTAAAGAGTCAAGAACCGCTTAGGTACACATGACAGTCTTGAGCGTTCAACCTATCGAGTACTGGCTGTTCATGTGCATTGGAACCAGTACTTATATTTATCTATTTGATCGTAATCATATGCAAATTTATTTATATTTTCTAATTATAAATTCTGAAATTGCATTTAAGTAGGCACGGACAGAAAAAGGTATTTTATCGATATTTAAGAATCTATCAGGCCAATTGTCTTAGTTTACGAAATTTCGATGAAGCAGTATTTCTACATCTATGTAATAATAATTTTAGCCAGTAATTTGAAATCATGAAATAAACCTGAAATTTAGATAGTTTAGTTTATTAAAGTACCATTTCAAGTGATTTTGAACAGTCAGTTCATAATTGGGAGACACCCCTAGTTGCGCACGATGGACATTTTGGGTCTTTGGTTCCCATAAAATCATAATTCTTATGTGTCTTATCTCCTGTTACAAATGTGACCATCAATTTTTTAAATCCCTGTACTTAAATTACGATTTTAAATCATTAGTGAGAAAATACTAAAAAATAATTGTATCTAAACAATCTTATAAAATAGTTTTGATTATGCTATTTTATAACGTGGTATTTAAATCAGCAAAATCAATAAATATCAAAATAAAGTATCTTTTTATCAATTTAATCGTCCCTTGTAAAAATTTATGTTAATAAAAAAAGTCACGTTAGCGTTAAGCTAGTGTAAAAAGCATAACTTGATTAAAAAAATAATATTTGAACTAACTATAAATTTTAAAATAAATTATTTTTGATCAATGTCAATGTATTACTGAAATATTTTTCTATAGGGTTTGCTTTGAAAACTGCTGGGGCGTCAGCAGCAGTTATTGGTGGAACCGCTGTAGTCGTTCCAGCACTTGGTTTTACTGCTGGTGGTGTTGCTGCAGGCTCTGTAGCTGCCTGGATCCAGAGCACCTTCCTTGGAGGAACTATAGCATCAGGAGGCATCTTTGCTGGAATGCAAAGCATAGGAGCTGCTGGTCTAGCAGCCAGCACTAAAGCAGCTATAGGTGCCGCAAGTGCAGTGGTTGCTGGAGTAACTAAAAACGACTCTCCTGTTGACACGGATAGTTCTGAAAAATCAAATGATTCTGAGAAATGAAATGATTTTAAGCAGAATTAATATTCTGATGAAATAAACAAATGAATGAAAATGAAAGCAATAATGACAATAATTCAATAATAATGCAAAACGAAGATAAATTTCGATCAAAGATTAATCTGGCTGATGAACTCAAACAACGGAAATTTTAGTATAGTTAAACTATTTGTGTGTTGTTAGTCTTTTGAAGAAAGCTGTAGCAAATTAAAAGCATGAATGCGTATTTTAATTGAATATTTTTTTCATGAAAATCAACAAGTGTATAATTAATGTAAGATTAAATTTTACAAAGAAAATATTATTTCATTTATTTAAAAAAAAATATGTATATTCAATTTCAGAATTCCAACATAAAACTCATCATATGAACAATTTATAGATTATTGAATATAAAAAGAAACCTATAGTATGCTAAAAATATTCACAATTATTCATCAATTTGAGAATAAATATTAAAGTAAATCGCACGGTATGAAATGTTACTGTAAAAATAGATTTTACGGTGAAATAGATTTTACGGATGCTGCACTCAGGCAGCCAGCACTTTTGCTCTCGAATGTTTTGCAATGTACGTGTACAATGTGTTATACTTTTCTAAAGAAACTTCTTATACATTAAAAATATTCATCATTATTCATTTTGACAAGCTTAACATGAAACCGCTAATGCAAAAACGGTTGTAGTAAATTTGATCATATTAGTGTTGAAACTATTAGTAGGTTATAAGTAGAAAGATGGCTAATGTATTTTATGCTTCAAAAACCATCAAACATCACTATGGGTTGAAGTAAATTTATTATTTATTTATGATTTAAGCGAAAGAGTTTAAGAATTCATTAACACGTTAATATTCTCATGTAAATAGATTGTTAGGTGGTAAAAGTGAATTAGATATGTATTTTATTCCAGTTTTGTCTTTCGAACGCATAAGGAAGGTGTTATTTACTGGTTAAAGTGCCCTGTATTATCGTAAATTCATTAATAAAATAATTTTGTTGTTTGTTTACTTTAAAGTAATCTTACTGAGAATTAGCTAATAAAAGAATGATTACTTTTTTCTAAATATTTTCATCACTAGGCTTTCTTTCTCAATTATACCTCATAAAACTTATTTTGAGAAGCAGATGTTGAAATATCACAATTCTGAGAACTATTGTACTTGACTCTGAAAACATCTCATTGGTTTATGATACATTTTTCGAAAAAAAGCCCACCTCTTTTATCAAATCTAATTCTAATCAAAAAACGCCCGGTGGCTGAGTGGTAGCGCTTCGCGCTCCTATGCCGCAAATCCTGGGTTCGATCCTCGGGCCAGGCAAGGTTGACCCAGCCTTTCATCTCTTCAGTGGGTCGATAAATGAGTACCAAGCAAACTTGGGAACAAAACACTGGGGGTCTCGCGTTCGGCGGACCACCTAGCCGAAATATCTGCTCCTGCACCCCAGAGCCCAAGGTCAAGAAAAACTGAGATGGGCACATCAGGCCTTGGGCCTCTATGGGATGTCGCGACACTGAGTTTAGTTTAATTCTAATCAAAACTGATTGTATACAACGCTTGAGGTCAATTAATGTTCAATATTTTAAAACGAGCAGCGATGGCTCAGGGGATAGATTGTTCGCCTTCCAATGAGGCGAACCGGGTTCGAATATCAGTCGATAGGAATTTCGCATCCGGCTTGCACCGACCACAGTGCTGACGTGAAATATCCTCACCGGTAGACGGATCGCGAATTGACAAAACATACCGTAGATTACAAAGGGTTGGCGAAAATTTCTATTGGCGTTAAAGGAGCGTTTTCGCAAATCGCCTAACAGCTGTGTGCTTATGATTTTGTTATGTTTTCGGTATCGCATAACATTCAACAAGTTAGATATGGGTGCGACATTTCAATTAAGGGGGTCTTCATTTGATTCTTCTGCATCAAATAAAATATAAAGCGCATTTTTTTATTATAGCGCCGACATAATCGTTTGTATCTGTTGACTAAATTGTGTTTATTAGCGTGTTTTAAAAGGTTGTAATAGAACTAAGATAGAAAAATTACACATTATTACATATTCTATAGTTTCATAACTTTCATTAAATGTATTTCGAGTAGTGAAATTCTTTTCCTACTCATCCACTAATTAGAATTAATAATTTCACAATAACCTTTAATCTTTAATAATGAAATGATTATTATAATAAAGTTTGTTTACTTAAAAGATTAAAAAAAGTTTTTTTTATTGTTTAGCAGAGACTTAGTTTCCAATTCTATATTCATTAATTAAACTTAATGGTTCTGCTCGATAACCATTCACAATTTTTTTAAAATTTTATTTAATTTTCTGTTATTATGAAATTCTTTAAATATTTTTCGACGTAGAGATTATTTAGCAATAATGCGAAAAGCTGAAATTTATAAATGTATAATATTTATAAATGTTTAAGAGAATTTTTAGCAGCTATTTTGTACTAATTATTTTAATTGAAATGTTCATTATACGCAGTTTTATAATAATAATCGTAAAATTCATTGAACAATTGAGTATTACATTTTAAAATGCAAGTATAATTTAATAATTATTTCATTTTATAACTGCAAAACGGTAGATAAGTAACTTCGTTATAAAGTTTTACATGATACGAGAATATTATACGATTGCTTTATAATGAAAGAACAACAATTTAAGTTTTAAACTTTTTGTGGAAAAGAAAAAATTGAAAATTTCTCCTGTCATCGGTGTTAGCGATTAGAGAGTCTTTTATCGTATAAATATTAAGTCAGTATTGTTCCCTTTTAAATAAAAATGCATTTTGCTCCGGAAAAAAAAATTACTTGAATTTTGTCGATAGAAATTCCCTAATTATAGCAGCAAAAACTTTTAAATTTCTAATCAAACTTTCCTTCATTATAATTTTGTGTAAATAATTATTATTAATAATATAAATGACTATTGAAAGGAATTAATTGAGAATGTCCAATTTTAATGAATTAACTGTTTACGCAATCAGATTAATAATTTTTTTCATAATTTACAAATGGAGAAAAAGTCTTTACAGTTTAAAAGTGAAGAGAAAAATATAGTTGAGATTAAATTTATGAAGTAAGCACAACCCGAAGGAGATTGAAATAATAGCATTAAAATCGAAATTTCAAAATAAAAATAAATCACGTTTTAGTGTACAGTGAGCAGTAAACAAAAATCTAAAACTAACTTTTGATCTAATTTAATTTTCTATTTTAATTTTTTTAGAAGAGAATTAGAAAAGAAAATGACCTTTTTACTGTCAGGATAACTTTACAAATACGATATATTCATATTTTATTAAACGCTATAATTTATATTTTATAAAACGATCTAGTTTTTTGATATAACAGATTCATTTTTTTAATTTTTTTAGAAGAATTGTGTTGGCAATTCGCAAGAATTGTGTTTGCGACGAAATAAAAAGAATTTATTAATGAACCAATCACAAAAAATAACGTAACATTTTAATACTATGTTTTATTGAAACGCTATTTTGAAGAATTAATTCTATTTAGCTTTTATTGTAAGAAAACATAACCTGTTTTATTTTAGTGATATTCTCTATTAAATCAATATTCTCTATAAAAGAATAATGTAAGCTTTTTTATAAAGATTATTTTTTTTGGAAATTAACAAAGACATATTATTTACTAGAAAAAGAAAAGAGTATTCAAAAATGTTATCACGCTTTAAAGTAATAGTTTCTTGTAAACGAAATAATCAATATTTTTAAAATAAAGTTTGAAAGCGTTTGTTCCATTACTAGAAGCATTTATTATAAAAAAAAATATTAAATTGCTTTGTTTGCATAATTTTATTAAGTAACTTTTTTTTTGCGATGAGATGAGATCTTAAACTTTGTGAAAAATTGATTCAATTCCTTAATATATATATAAAAGTCGGTAAATACTTCATT